TTTAAAAGTTGTCTTCTAGGATACTTTAAAATATTGCATTCTAGAATACTTTAAACAGACCACAGAATATTTTTAAAATAATATTTAAAATTCCTCCTAGTTTGGCTCTAAAATGCTAAAGGCTTTATTCTGCTGTTTTAAGGCTTAAATCAAGCAACTTTAAGAGAATTTCAAGTCTGGCATGGTATATTTCTTTCCTATATAGTCATTTACTCACCTTTTGTACTCGGTTTAATCAAATGGTCACATTGATTCTCCAAAAAGCTTCCTGCTTTTGATGTATTTAAATAAACTTTTATTCTTGCTCTTGGAACTCCCTAGCAGGGAGTTCACCAAGGTCTATTTTCATCTGCTGAATTGATTGTCCTTGAGCTACCACATAGCTTGACTTTTTAATTCTTTTCACTTAAGCAAGTGTTCCCGTGTTTTCAAACTGGCCTTGATTCTCAAAATAACATCTTCTATTTTGCCATTTAGTTTTGAGGGATTTGTGTTCGAGGACTTGTTTTGTTTGTTTGTTTGTTTAATCTGGGGCATGTAATTTTCCTAGATACAGTGTGTTTTAAAATAGTTAGTCTTCCCATTGCTTTTAGGATCTTAAATGTGCCTTTGAAACTTTTCCCCACAGGTGTCTCTCCTGGGTTCTAGAAGCTGGCCCCTCCCTGTCCCTACAGGCCTAGGAGTGGTAACAACTCTGCTGTTATCAGCCCCACTGTTGCACCACCCTTGGGCCTCCCCTCTCCCCCACTTCTTAGATAGTGTCTTTATCTAGTCCTCCCTGAATGATCCTAATTTGCATGTGCCATCTGTTTTCTCTAGGACCCTGACAGTAATGTTCAGGGAATTTCTTAGTTTGTTAGAAAGCTAGGGGTGGGAGGGAGAAACTAACATTTATTAAACACTTTCTTCTAGGTACTCTGAGATACTTTCACATGTTTCATTTAATTTTCCTAATAACCCTATGAATTAGTGGAATAAGTATTTCAGGAGAAGCATCTGAGGTTCAGAGAGATTAGATAACCTACGGTCACTCAACAACTAAGTGGCAAAACCAGAATTTAAATATATGAACGCCTGACTCAGTGCTCTGTACATTTTTTCCATCTGCCTCGCTGGAAGGAAGTTCATTTGGTTTTTCTAACTGGTATCAACTATAAAAAGGGAAAAAAGTCCTTTCGAGATCTCCAGTTACTAACAGGACAAGGTCTCAGTTCCTTGGCCTGCTGCTTATGGTTTATCATGCATTCAGTCAACACCTATTATGCGTCAGGCAGTTATCAAAAGAGACAAACTCCCTGACCTCATGGAGCCAAACAATAAACGAACAAATAAAGACTACAGTTTATCAGACAGTGATAAATATTTTGGAGAAAAATAAAGCAAGGGAAAGGATGAGGAGTGTTGGGGGATTTGAAATTTTAAGGGAAAGCCTCACTGAGATGCCTTCTGAGCAACACTTTGACAGAGGTAGGGAAGGGGCCGTGGATATCGGGGAGAGCAGTGGACGCAGGTAGAAAGCAGACTGTGAGGCAGGAGCATGTCTGGCATGTTTGAAGAATAGCAAGGAGGCCAGGGTGGCTGAAGCTGAGTAAGGGGGAAAGCAGTGAAGGTATGGTGAGAGGTGGGTGGTGGGTAAGGCCTTGCAGTCACCATAAGGGTGTTCTAAGTGAGGCTGAGCCGTTGGAGAGCAGAGCAGAGGGGCCACATCTCAACAGTCTGGGAGGCTCAGTGTTGAGAACAGACTGCAGGAGGAGGGCAGGGCCAGGGAAGCCCTTTGTGTCTGACCCGGAGCTTCTCCTGATGTTCCCATATAAACAATGGGGTTTACTTTTGACTCCGTAAACCTGCTGTGCTCGTTTTTTCTTCCTACCCCTAGATATCAAGCAGACTTCCTTGCTTCTTTGAGAGGACTAAGAATGCTCTCGGAAGCCAGAGGAAGAGGTTATTAACCCTGAAAAGTGTGTCCCAATTTGCTGATGGTGAAGACGGGAAAACATGTCCAAAAGAAAACTTCCCAAGGTGGTGGGGAGGGTATGGACATAATCGAACAGACCGATTCTTTCACTCACACACGTTATAAAGCAGCCCAAGAAGCTTGTTTGTGGTGTTGATTGAATTAATACTGAATTTCTAATTTTGGATTATTTTATCGCTTAAAAAGAAAATTAATCTCTCTCTCTCTCTCTTTAAAAAAGGATTTTCAACAGGAAGGCAGAGCTCTCCTGGCTCATTATGTCTTAGTTTTCTTTGGAGGAGTTCACGTGTTGCTGCGCTTTCTCTGGAATAACCATTTGATGTAAAAGGAATGTAAATGTCAGGTTCTGCTTTCCTTCTACCCTTTGACAAAACATGAATGCACCAGGGCGGATGGGAAGAAGACCCTTCTCCACCTCCCTCTCTTTCCACCCACCACTGTTGTTTTATGCCTGGTTTGTTGGAGAACTGCGGACTCACTGGCCATTCGTCTGTTCAGGGCAACCAGAGAGGAGACGTCTGTGATGACCTCATGGTCGAGCCTGAGGAGCTTAGGAACCCAGGAGGTCGTGCTGCTTAGAAAACACCAGCGCTGTGGATGTCCCAGCGCTCCTTGTAAGGAAACCTTCAGCGTTTCCTTCCATGAGTGAAACAACCTCATCCCCAAACCAGAGGTCACAGACAGAAATGGGTGCTTTCTCCTGGGCCCCCTCCCTGGGTACCAGGCCCTCTAGTGACTGTTGGCCCCACTCCTGTTGCCCATGTCCAGGTCTGCAGTGCCCCGTCCTCCTTTTACCTTCCTGTCTACCTCATATTGCCTCCCTCCCCTCCTTAAGAAGTACAAGTATCAAGAAAGTTGTATAAGTTTGTATATGCATTTTGAGTTCTTTGTAGGAAAAGTGTTATTTAAAAATTAGTAATTTAAAAAATGAAATAAACATGGTTATTTTACTGAGCATGAGACACCTGTGCGTAATTTCCTTTTTGATGGAGAAATTCCATTTGTCCCTGCTCATATGGGTTCATTACTTTGTAGAGTTGGATCATATGTAGCATCATCTTTGTCCTTCCAAAGGGAAATGTCCCCGTTTAAAAAATTCATCTCAGGCAATGTCTATTTAGTCCCATCATCACCTACGTTTTGACTTCCTGGAAGGGAACAGTTCCTAAAATGTCTTCCTTATTTATTTTTTACATTTTTGAGTTTATTTATTCATAAGGTTAAAAAATCAAAATCGTACAAAAAGATTTGCAATGAAAATTCTTGCTCTTATTTTCTATCCTGAATCCCAATTATGTTTATTAGTTTGTTACATATCCTTCCAGAGTTTCTTTGTACCAGTACCACCACACACACACACACACACACACACACACACACACACACACACGGTAGTGTATAATATATGCAAGGTACAGACTTTGATTTTTTTGCTTAGCGTGGTGGTGGTCAGGCATTATTCTAGTTGTTTTACAAATGTTAAACCATTTAGTCTTCAGAAGAACTTTATGAGACAGGGATTATTATCAGCTCTATTTTACTGTTAAGGAAACTGAGGTCGTTGCTAATAGAGAGAGGCAGTAGGGAGGTTAACTAAGTTGCTCAAGGGCATACAGCCAGTAAGTGACATAGCTGTCACTGTCCAAGCCTGGCAGGCTGTCCTGAGAGTCCAGGCTCTTAACCACTCTGCTGTACTGCCTCTTGGAGAGCCTGCCACAGTCCACAGAGAGCGCTGTCAGACCATGCACAGGATTCTGCTAAATGGATGTACTGTGATTTATCTTGTCAGCTCCCTTTTAATGGATGCCTGGGTTGTTTCTAATCATTCAGCATTATAAGTCATGTTGAAATAAATAACCACGTACATTTTGGATATGTGCAGTATATTTGTTGAGTATGTTTCCAGTGTTGGGATTGCTGAGTTGTGAAGGAAAAACCGGGCTGGTCTAACAAGATAACTCACAAGTCTAGGAATGTGAAGGAGAGGCTGGGCTGGGCTGAC